ATTGCTTCTGGCCAATCCACCTGTCGTTGGCGTAGCTGTCAAGGCTGGACTATTGGGTGTTGAGCTTCCGTCGTTCCTGGAGTTCCGTGACGACACGGATCGGTTTCTTCGAAGTTTGCCATCCCGCCGCACACTGTTGGCGCCTGCACTCGCATTGGACGCCGATCGGCCCAGGCTTGTTTTTCGAGTAGGTTGAGGGGTGAGAGGACCACTGGGTGTGCCAGACTCCACCTCTTTCTTGGTCTTTTCATCAGCAGCGGTACCCTGCATACCAATAAGGAAGTGATCCTGGTTCTCGATCAAGAAAATGATAACACATTGGTTCAGTCGGTATTCCTCAGGAGCCATGGCATGTGCTGGGTGCGAGAGCATGCCTGGCTGGAAGATGGCAGCCAGATTTTGTGAGTTCATGCGATTCTCGTCCGCCTTGGCAGCGAAAACCGCAAGAAGATCGAGAATGTAGAGAAGTAGCTGTCGGTTCAAGGGTGGTAGCTCCGTGATGAGTCGCTGGTACTGCAAGATGGCAGCTTTCTCGTTGAAATTTTCGACGAATTGAGGCCCCTCTGCATCGCCCACGGCTTGCTTGGTTGCGCCTCGGAGGGGGTCGCGGAACTTTTCGTACAGATCGAGGGGAACGACGGGTTCGGGGAGGTCGTTGAGATATCGTCGCAGAACGTTGGCAGCATCGTGTACAGTGTATCCATCCCAGACGAGGCCCTTCCCGTATCTGTCAGGTGAGTCGAATATGGTCTTAAGCTCCTTTATTCTCTTTTCCGAACCGCTAAGCCGGAAAATTCCTTCGACGTGGGTAGCTGAAAGGAAGCGTCAGCACAATTTCCCTGTCAGCCAGGCCAAGAGAACCAACCTTTTTCTTTGAGGAAGACGCCACATTTTGCGACGACAATGGGGACATAGCCGTAGATGTAACTCTGTCCATTCTCATCAATGAGCGAGATGGCGACGTTGGCATATGTTATACTTTGCCGTAAAGGCACTCCGAAGATACCTTGGGGACGGGTTTCTGAAAACACGCAAGTTAGAGATCAGACATTAAGAAGTGGGGGAGCAGCGCTATGTGCATATTGACTTCGTGACTGTGAGCATTGCAGGTGCAACAGATTCAGTCGTGATCAGCCAGAGGCGCTGTGGCCCGAGGTATTCAAAATCGTCGAAAAGCGTATCGCGACAGGCGACAGCAACGAAACTATGTTGCTTTATGACATTCTGACTCGAAGCTGGGCAGGGTTGCGCAGTGAAGAGCGAAGGAGGGAGATATCTTACCCTGGGGTTCCTGGTGCTTCGAAGGCAGCTTGAAACCCTTCCACCATGATTTAAGATCGCGCTTGCTGGGCGGGGATGCTGCATTATTGATTTGGAGAGCCGGCTGGTTGGCCTGATTAGGGTTCGAGGCGGCGGACGTCATGGCGAAAGGCTGCGCGTGCCAAGAGCGAGAGCGACGACTGCGAAAGCGAAAACGGAAGCGTAGAAGAATATGAGGTTAGGTGACGAGGGACACTACAGCTGGGCCGGCCCAGTTGCCAGAGTCACGATGACTGAGCCTCAGCCTCAATCGAGGTCGAGCGAGGATGCGGCGACGAGGTGCGCTGAAGCGGTGACCCGGAGCCGTGCCGTGCTATAATACAGAGGCCGGGTTCTGAGAGGCGGGCGGGAGGGTGAGGAAAAGGTCTCGACTCGACCGATGCCGAAAGGCGACAGCAGGATGGAAATGGCGATGCGATGCGAGGCTAGAGATCAGGAGCTAGAAATCAAAGCCTTGAGCTGGGGAAGCTCAAGCGAGCAAGCGAGCAAGCGAGTGAGGGAGTCGATGGCAACAGTGTGCGCGCCAGTCTAGGATGAGACAGATCGGTCGATGATTGGTAGCGTCAAGGGCGTTAGAGCGGTACAACAGTAGTAGTGTAGGGCGTCAAGGCGTTAGGCGCTGGCTTGGTTCAGTTCACTTGTGTCTGGTAATCCAGATTCAGGTCCTTGGCTCTGAGGCACGGGTTCGGGTTCGGGCGTAAGCAAGAATCGTGAAGGCAAAAATAGTGAGTGAGTGAGTGAGTGCGTGCGTGCGATGTGGTGATGATGGTGACGAGGTGAGGCGATAAAGAAAGGAACGGCAAGAGACGCTTCGAGCGGGTCAAGGCTGTAAATTACCGCTCAAGTCGATGATTGTCGCGTCGTAGCAATAGAGGAGCAGAGAAGACCAGAGCAGAGCAGAACAGAGCAGTTGGTGGCATCCAGAGCCAGCGAGCGAGTGAACGGGAGGGAATAAGATTAAAGAAATCCAGTCCAATTGATGTGAGGCGGGGGACTTGGGACCGAAAGCCACTATGACTAGTAGGTAGGTACCCGTAGCGCAGCAGGTAGTAGTGCTGGGTCTGGGGGGAGGACAATTCCAGGTTGTGTCCAGGTACAGTACATGCAGGGAGTTGGGAGTACCTTGCCGTACCTGTCCGCAGGGAAATGATAGACAAAGGCAAAGGCTTGCGTTGTAGACGAAGTACTGAGGTATCCGTAGGTACATAGGCAAGATACAAGGCCCAAGAGAACACTGAGTATCTTATCAGCCTTTAAGTAAGACCCGACTGACTCGGTGATTATGAGGGTATCGGTTAGATATGTTGTGTGGAGTTGAGGTTGATTCTGTGCTGCAAGAGGAATTGCAAGAGAATGCAGATGCAGATGCAGATGCAGCACTACACGGCTTCTAATTATATATGGAGGTATCCATATGCAGGTAGCAAAACGAACCAGCTCTGGTAGTGGCCTCTGCCTCTCGAAAACCTGACGGCGAATGTCAGGACAGTATCGAAACAAAGTGGAAAAGGTCTGCTGTAAGTGGGAGCAGCAGGGAGGGGGAGAACCTAGACACAGCGGCAGTAGTTACTTGGTGGGTGGGCTTATTTGCACTGAAACAGAGTACCCAATGGATAATAACAAGCTGCCTACCTAGGCATGTTATTAACGCGTGTAATTAGGGCAACCGAATTGGGACGAAAGCGAATGACCAAACGAACGAACGAGCGTGAATGTGAACAAGCGAGAGCGGGAAGTGGGAAGATGGACAAGGACAAGGATGATGATAGAGACAAGACAAGATTGCGAGAGGGGACGAGAAATACGAGAATGAGGATGCAGGTCGAGTTTTAGTTATCCGTTCGTACATACATAATAAACTTTCACTCCTAGTTCTTTTTCAGGTACATCGTCCACTGTTGGTGAACTCTGAATCTCCCTCTAAACTTAATTGTCAACGACGGACGTTATGAACAAGACGTGATATCTTTGTCAATGTCAGTGAATGTCTGTCTGTATCTGTACAGACAACGCATCTCGGATGCCCGTCTACGTTGGATCTGATACTACCCATATCCAGCCAAACCAACTTTTCTGCAGTATCAGATCTCTAATAAAAGAACTGTCATGTATAGAATAGTCGGATATTAGTTGATCAATTCACGGAGTCAACCACCCAACGCCGCAAGCGGTTGCTGTTTGTTGGTGGATACTTTTGGCGCAAGCAATTGGATTTGCGTCGTGGACATGGACTTTTACCAGGATTCAAGCTTGGAACACGATCAGCCAAATTGATCACATCACTCGCTCGCTCAATCTGCCCTGTTCTGCCCTACAAGTCACAACGGACGGTAATAGATCTCTCCACAGTGACGAGGTACTGTCGATCACAGCTCTAGGGGGCTATAACCCGTCGATAACTTGCTGAAGCACGGATAGCTGCCTCTTATCACCCACTCGCTGTTGAGAGACTCTGAGTCACTCACCCAAAGAAAAAAAAGGCCCTGGACTCTCAGCTGAAACCACTACTGCAACTCGACAACACCAACGAACCATAAACCATGGATGATAACCCGGCACTAATAACTACATAAGCATCAGAACTTGGCTTATCCATGGTCTGCAGTCTGTACTCCCAAAAAAAGAACTGTTAATCTTAGCAGGATGCCTCCACTGTTGAGGATGCTCGGGAGTCTCTGTCACCGTCTCGTCTTGATCTACAGGGCTGTTTATGTTGACTGTCCAAATCGAGACTCTTTTTATTTCGACTCTGAAGCTAATAAGGGCCTACCTACTCCGTACATTAGTAGTCTCACTTGGTGCGCCAACACCACCAACAAGTGAGACTGTCTGTATCTTGTATAGAGGATGGAATTTGGGTAATAAAACGGGCCAGCTCGATGTTTACCACCTGTGAGACGCAGTACGTACTCCTCTTTGACTTAAGCATGCATGGTTGGCATCGACACAAGGGACTGGCAATTGATGGATGTTTCCATATTTGGCATGAGGATGTTGAAGGATTGCAACCATCACACGTCAGTCTTTCGCCTCTCTTGAATCCTTTCCGTGTTCTGATTCGTCGCAAATCTCATGCTTCAGTTTTGTAGATATCGGCGAGTAACAGAAGTTCTGGAAGCATCATCTCCCTTGTATGCAGTCCATGCTGTAGGTAGTCTCTTTCACGCCAGGCTATAATTCATGTACCTCCAACTTCGGCCTCCGTCTTTGAGCAAATGCATATATCTTGGTCATTGACGTCTATCTTATTTTGATAATGCACACCAAACAATAGGCGCCATACATGGACTGCGCCTCATCCAATCCCCGACCCAACTGCAAGACTTGTCAGATGAGGTGCCGCGCCGATCAGTGTTTCATGTTGTTGTTTTTTTTCGCCATCAAGTGAAACTACAAGAATAGCAATTGCCATGCTCACCTCCAACGGCTGTCTCGTTTTGGTCAGCTGAATTACGTGGTGAGCTGTAGATGTTTGGATCTGCAGAGCATTGGAGGGAAGGGTTGCTACTAAAGCAAGCAGGGAGGTGCTCGCATGACAGTCTCTCAGTAGATAGATGCATTTCCCTCTTATTTAAGTTACTGTATGTAAATGACAAGAATAGCTTTAATGGCTGTTAAACAGGTTATCAAGTGTATGTACGTAGGTCTTCAGCTGGTCAAAGAAGCCCAACTCCACTATCATGGGTACCTGGCTACGTCAGAAGCTCTCACCAGAGCAAACGCTGCAACAGCGGAACACGCATTCAACAATGAAATGGCTCCAGAACTGGAAAAGAAAGATCGAAATCAACATACCAATGTATCACACGAGTCTGAATAGCGTCACTTCTAATAAACGGGAATAACAGCTGTGGTGCATTTAAGGCTCAGCCAATCCGGGGTAAAACGATAATGCGATCCCGCCGATAAGCCCAACCCGGCCGAGTCCCGAGCTCTCTAGCTTGCTTATCTCAAAATTTCAGTCTCCATATCAAACCGACAACGTCAATCCACCTCGACAAGCCTTATAACCTCGATTTCATCAACCGCATCAACCCCCCCTAAACCGTCAAAATGGATATGTAAGTTTCTTCATACTCAATTCATATCACTACATCACAATGCTAATCAACATGTTCCAATCTTAGGCTTTCCGCAGCTGAACAGCGCACTCTTGAGCAGCGCATGCAGAAGCGCCAGGTCAAGGAGTTTATGGGCGTATGTACCCCCAACGATTATTTCGATCGAATTGTTGCTGACAAGCTTTTCTTAGGCATTCGGCGGTCTTGTTGAGCACTGCTTCATGTCCTGTGTCGATGACTTCACCTCAAAGGCCATCTCAACCCGAGAAAGCGGCTGCATCAACCGCTGCGTTCAGAAGTGGATGGCTTCTCAACAGCGCATCAGCGACCGCTTCCAAGAGCACAACGCCCAGCTCACAGCTCAGATGAACAAATAAATGCGAAATACTCTAGACACGAGACATGTACGATTAGCAAGGAGGACGGCAAGGGGAAGGGCACACAAAACCTGTGCTGTTGATATCAAATGTGCTCCGGATTATATATGAGATCGAAAAGACGGAACGCTATTTATGACCATGATACGCTGTGTGGCTAGGTCTCATGGCACCAGATGCACTTGTATATTATTATGGGCTACAGGTACGAGACGCTTGGGCTCAAGCCGTCACCATGGAATGAATTTATAACCCATTCTTACTCTCATTCCCGATGTCCGTCATCGCCCTTGCAACTCAACTTGACAAGGCAGCAAGCATTTCGTGACCGCAAGTATTATTACAGACCGGCGAGCCGGTTCACAGGGTAGCTCGGTTGGCGTCAACGTAATCAAATCACGTCTCTCTTATGCCATTCCGCAATGCGCACATCCTACCCCAACGCCCTTGACCTAAATACTTATAATATACACACCTTGGTGATTATCATTCGTTTCCCCTAAGCTCCTATGTTCATATTCAATTATCTGCTTCTTCACTTAGCACATCTCTGATGGCATCTAATTGAGCCACCGCTTTCTCCTCCAAAAGACTATCATATGCCCCAGAGGCTGGCTTCATCCCACGCCAGTCCATTTCACGCTGACCTAAGGGCATGAGTCGCTCCTTTAGCAACTTCTTTGTGCTCAACCAAAAGTCGACGTTCTCTAGCAGGTTTGCCGAGTCCCATTCCACGTCAGGAATGTCCCGGTTGTTGTTCACACGAAGAGCAGCAAGCACTCGCGTGAGGAGGGCAAGGGAGTGAACCTCGGATATCGCGACAAGGGTCAGGTAGTGCGGTGACGCCCGAGACTGGGTACGACTGGCTCCAGGTGCTTCGAATCGGTCCACGCTGGCTTCCAGTAGGTGAGGGAACTGGTTAAGAACGTACGCAACCTCTGGGGCAACAGTTGCACCCAAAGCTGTGAGCAAGTTCAGCATTAGCGGCAACAGTCCTTTGGCCCAGATACCATAGCAACGTTGCACCACAGGGGAATCTGAATAGGGAGAAACGTTGGACTTCAGCATGAACTTGGTCAGATTGGCAGATAGGATGTTGCTCAAGATTCCATCGCATGCCATCTGTTCAGCAACCATAGGGAGAGTTGAGAGTTCAAGCAAGAATAGCATGCTCAACTCGCCATAGATAGGGTCGCCTTGATCCGCCAGTCTGTCTGCCCATGAGTAGAGAGACGACGCAGCATGGAGGACTTGATGCTCGGCCATGATGTTAAGAACTTGAGTCTGAGATTGATCCATGTTGGGCAGACTTATGCAGGCTTGAAGGATGGCTGTCAACAATCCTAAATCTTCCGGTGATACACTATTTTCGTTATCGTGAATGAGGCTGACAAGTGCGCGGAAGCCCCTGCCCACAACTCGGTCAAGGATATTCAACACAGTTTGTGTAACTGTCACGGTAGTTCCCTCAAAGACATCCTGAGATTCGGTTGATTTCTTGCCACTGATTTGGTAGGCACGCAGAGTAACGAAAAGAGCCTTTAGTAGGGTGCGGTAGTACGAGATAGATTCAATGCCCCAAGGCTCCTCGACTCCGTTCATGGTACCAACAAGAGTCGAGAGAAGCTGGTTGATGTCCTTGACTGGCACTGATGACTTGACAAGGCGCTGGATTAACACAAGCGCAAGGCTCGCCCTGGACTCGACAAGTTTTAGGAAGATGTGTTCAGGGCCTGGAATTCCTTGGTTGGCATTGAGACATTGTTGGGCAACTTGCAGCATTTGTTTTTCCACGGTGTCGTTCTTGGGCATGCATGTTGAAAGCTCTACAAGTAGAAACTCCCAGGCATGGAAAAGGGCCTAGAAATAACGTCATTAGCTATGTCCATGATACACAAGGCACAGTCACTTACGAGCTGAGCATCAACTAAAGACAAGTTCGTGTTTGCCCGCTCCATCTCTGTCTTGAAACCGTCGTCCTTGCGACCTTTCCAGCCTGGATCAAATCGTAGCATCTGATCGGCGCGTTCCAAGTCATAGTAGTAACTCTTGCCGAGTTCCCGTGGCTCCAGGACGGTCCGCTTGAAGTCATCCACAGGGCAGTCTGAATACTTGTTGGAGAAGTTTCGGGCGAAGTTGTTGTGAAGAGACTTGTTGTAACCTCCAACCTCAACTCCATCACGCAAATAGTAGTCGAGATCGCCAATAAGGCTCTTTGCCAATGTTCCCGAGTTGCCCAGATGCCGCGAGTGGTAAAGCTGCATGGCAAATGTCTCCGCAATATACGCGGCCAGTCTTGCCTCAAAAGCAGCACGGACAGGGTCAGACTTTACAGTGATACTGGATGATTTGAGATCTCGGACGTATTCTCTAAGCCCATCAAGATAAGCGGTGTCTTTCTGGAGTGTGAAGACTGTCCAGGGCCAGAAGTTCTGGGCCGAGGCGACAAAGTCAAGAATAACCAGGGCCTCGCTTATTTCTAGATCCTTTAACTTGCCAAGCTTGGCAAGCCCAGTAGCAAATACCGAGCTGGAAGAAACATCCGTCTTCTTTTTGTCTTTCTTCATCGCCTCCCTGGGGGTCTGCCCCGTAAGCAGGCAATTAGACATCCACTGTTGTCGGTTCCTCAGAATAGCCGAAAAAAACTTCCATGTGGCTTTGACCTCGCCCCTGAGTTCAAAGGGCTTACCCAGGGTTGATAGAAGTTGGAGAAAAGACTTGGAAATCTGAGGCCCCAAGTAACCAAGCAGTGACGGGGGCTCACTTGAGGATTTGCCAGCATTTACAACCAAAGACTCAAGCAGCCACATGGTGGGTTTGCGGAAATGATCAGATACTGCGCATAACCGTGCAAGCAGGGTGGAGCTTTTAAAAAGGTAAGTTTCAATCATGCCAGAGGATTGCTCTAGATAATTGGCGACGCGCAGTAGTGTCGCGAAAAATTCAAGTACTGAATTTAACTGTGCCTGTACCATCTCCACGCGTCTTGGATAGAGGGTACTGTCGGCGGTTGTAAATGCTGTGATAAGGGACGATAAAAGGGGTTGGAATCGCAGAGATCCAGTTGAGGGCGAGACGAAACAGTCGATAATATAAGAGGCGGCAGGTCGTAAGCATGAAGTTAGATTCTCAGTCGAAGGATCGCCAAGACTGTAGCTATACATAACCACCTTTTGCAGGATTGGTACAACCTCTCGGAGCACTGACGAGCGACATGTGTCAGACGCAAATCTCCAAGTTGAAGTATTCTCAAAGATGTCTACGCCTGCCTGTGCAATGGCGTAGCTGACCTTTGCCAAAACTTTATCTGCTGTGCCCAGCCAAGGATTCATATCTGACTTGTTTCTGCTTGTGGGAATACCAGCTCGTCGCTGAACAGCAGAAGTCATTGCAGTGTCAATAAGGTTTGAGAATAGTCTGAGACAAGATAGTAAAAATTCGAGCCTCTCCTGGACCAGATCGAGGCTTCCCACGACCTTGGTGAGCTTACCAGCTCTGGACTCGGAACTTAAAAGTTCGCATCGAGAAAGATACGACCACACTCTGCTGGGATAAATAGGCAGGACCGCATCGAGGAATTGGACGCAAGAGTTCAGGATAGTGACGACAACGTCCTCGCTCTCCGCAAGATCAACCTGCATGTAGTAGTCCATTGTCTCGCAGACGACTGTTAGGAGGTCTCTACCACCACCCGCATCAATATGTTTCTTTGCCTCATGTAGAATATCATTGTCAGAAAGCACCAAGGCGCCGGTGGACTCCTCCCTGGCGGCGTTCAGATGATCCATGCGAATTAGTGTCGCAAACAAAGAGATGACTTCGGCAGTTTCTTCTGGCTGGAGCATTCCGAGCTCAGATTGATAGCCTTCCTTCATGAGATTGATTTCCAGTCGTCGACCCAAGAGCGAGATAGTTGAGTGAGGATACTCCATTGAGACAACTCTACCTGTATCCGTAACAAATCGTCCATATGTGCCTGCTGGTATCCGGTACGCATCGTCCTCGACACGTCTTCCTCGCCACGAAGGGGATAAAGAGATGATGGGAATATCTTGCAGCAAACAGAAAGTATTGGTGTTCTCGTCTTCTTGTGCGAGCTCGTACTCCTGGAAGTAATCGGGAAGGACGAATGTGAGTGTGGGTGTTGCACGTAAAAGGTTAAGGATCATCTGAGAGCGATCGCTGTCACGGAGGCTAGTGGCACTGGCGAGAGTTCGGCAGAGAGTGATAAACGGCAGAAATTCATAGGGATATCTGTCAAGAGCTTGCTGAAAGAAGAACTCTAGTGCAAGATGATCATTGATCATGGATGCGAGAATATCTTGCTTCTCTGAGAGGTTCTCCTTGTTTGAAATGTCCCAGTAATTTCGGCCGGCGCTTAGAATCGAAAGAAGGGAGCTTACTGGTTCGGACTGATAACCAACGATGGGGTATGAAACCTTAAGAAGCTCAAGGAAGACATTGCGAAGACGAGCACTGAGTAAGGGGGTCATACTACCCTCATCAGAGGGACCTAATGATGTTGCCATATTAGAAACGACATCAAAGACACGGCCTTGAGCCGTGACTTGTGATGCAAGCTGTTCCACCACGACAAGGTCCTTGGATGAAGTCGCATTCTCGAGGAAGCCGTCAAATTTTGAAGATTCGATGGAGAAGATGCTGCCCGCCGAGTTTCGTCTTGCGACTGGTCGAATCACACCCCCTGCCTCGAAGGTTTCTCGGGCATTTTGCTGCAGCAAATTATCACGCTTCTCTGTTCGACTTTGATAGGAAACATTCATGCGATGAAGAAGAAGCGTCCAGGCGAAAATGACGGGCGAAGCGCTTTCGCAGTCGGCTTCGGCAGCGTTTAGTATGCTCTTGTGGACCTGTTCAAGGACGTCAGATGAGAGCAGGTATGTGTCGTAGGAAGTATCTGCTTGAGTAGCATCCTCTTCTCTCTCGGAAAGATAGGTCAATGAGCGAGCTGGCTTGAGTAGTATCAGGGACACGGCGGCTGAAAGAGTCTTCAGGGGCAAAACTAGCGGGGCAATGCTCTCGTGGATCTGGGGGCACTATTAGTACAAGTCTGCGCATCAACATGTTGTGCAATACATACCGGCTGAACTGCGTCAAAGAATCTGTAGACTTCCATCAAAGAAAACCACTGGTTGACGGCACTTGAAGGTGCAAAATCATCGCCAAAACTGTCAACAATCTGGAAGACAACAGACAAAGCATGGATAGCTTCGGTTAGAAGCGTTCGCAGCCAATCTAGTTCGACTTCCTCTGTCACCCACTTCTCATCCGTTACAGCTTTTAGACCTGATTCGATGCGAGACATAGAGTCTGTGAGAACTTGAAGGTAAGTCGGGAGTAGGGGTTCGGCGTCGTCTCGTGAAGGAAGCTTCAGTCGGTAGGTCTTGGCTAGGTCGAGATCAACACTGGCGAAGGTCGGCAGCCTCTCGTACAGCTTGATCGAGTTGGCATAGTCCGCAGACATCATAAAAAAACGGCGCTCGGTAAGATATGTATCGAACAGGCGTCGCTGTCTCGTTTCGGGCTTCTCGAATTCAGCCCAGATCTCCTCAGCATCCAGCGCAGCCGCCGATCCTAGGTCCAAAAGAAGTCCTGACCCTTGACCATTGTTGAGGCCGGCGGCTTCCTGCAGATTCTTCGCATCTTGAGACGATAATGGGCCACTGAGATGGCGCGCAGGACGGGACTGGTGTTCTATCACGACCACACGCAAAGCTGCGACCAGGTTGATTTTGGCATTCTTGCTGAGCCATTCGGCATCTTTCTTGATCGACTCGATGTCAGGTCGTCCATCTGAGCTTGCGGGAACATTAATCGGGGCCGTTTTTGTTTCAAAGACTTTTTTTGTTGTCTCATCTGCGGGTGCGAAGGTGCTGGCAGGGTCCTCGAGGAGACGGTGAACATAGTCGTCGCTCAGAAATTCGATAACGGCAGAACTCGTAGTTCTCTGGCCAGAAGCATCAGACAGCGCAGTTGCGACGAGCTTCCAAGAGCTGAGTGTTGAGTTAGCGGTGAGTTTGTGTACATAGATGAATGGATAGGCAGCCCAAGAGACGAGAGAGAGCTGCAGAGGCATTCAGTCAACTTACAGCAGTACCCGCTCCCCAGTCAGGCATTGTTCTAGGGAGGGGAAGTAAATGCGATCGGCCACCGGCGCCATTGCAAAGAGCGTCAAAAGGGCGGCAGTGGCATGCGACGCATCACCTTGCGATTAGTTAGGGTGGATGCGAAGAAAGTTTGATTTTGATGCTTGTTGACGCGCCTGGTCGCGAATGGATGGATCGAGCTTTGGCTGGTCAACTTTTTGGACCTGACCTGGAGCTAGAGAGCTCCAATTTAGCCCAAGTTTACCCGGTGCTTCAGTGGACGGCAGTTATATCGGACCTTGTGCCTCCATTCGCCATATAGAGTTAACACTGTACAAGCCATTGTGTCCCAGCCAGAGACGACAGTGCGCTAGTCATTGCTGCACTGGCCGAAAGTCGCATTCACAGCTTCTTTGTTCAACTATATTCAAACTCAAAGTGACTCACCTTTTGCAACGTCACCGCTCTCAGTCTCGTAAAATAACTCATTTTTACGAAGACACGGTTTCAAAACACTCTCCCTTCTCGTCATTGTTTTTTTCCAGAGAAAAAAGAGAGAGAGAATGGGTTCCTCAGATATTATCGATCACTCGCCTCACCAGGCTGATCCCTCGCCTCCAATTCCAACGGCCTCTAACCTTATTCTTATTGACAACTACGACTCTTTCACCTGGAACATTTACCAGTATCTCGTTCTCGCTGGAGCTACGGTTACTGTCTATCGAAATGACAAGGTCACTGTGGATGAAATCATTGCCAAGAAACCCACCCAGATCATCATCAGCCCCGGTCCCGGTCACCCCGAGACTGATTCTGGTGTGAGCCGCGATGTCATTAGACATTTTGCTGGCAAGGTTCCTATCTTTGGTGTCTGTATGGGCCTGTAAGTGTTGGTCGTTCCCTTGTATACCAATTCCTCTGACCTCCTTCAAGCCAGTGCATCTTTAATGTTTATGGCGGAGAAGTCAGTTCAGCTGGTGAATGGCTCCATGGCAAAACTTCACCATTGACCCATGATTCCAAGGGTGTGTTCTCTGGTCTCAAGCAGGGTGTTCCAGTTACTCGCTACCATTCTCTTGCGGGTACCCACGTCACTTTGCCTGAGGACCTGGAGGTTTCTTCTTGGGTCGCTAAGCCTGATGGTTCCCCTGGTGTCATTCAAGGTGTTCGTCACAAGAAGTACACCATCGAAGGTGTCCAATTCCACCCTGAGAGTATCCTGACTGAAGGTGGGCGAGCTATGATCACAAACTTCCTCCGCATGCAAGGAGGTACTTGGGAGGAGAACACTGAGTTCCAGAAGTCTGGTTCCGCCAACAGCGACGACTCGGCTGCGCCCAAGCCCAAGAAGAACAACATTCTGCAGCGAATTTACGCCAATCGAAAGGCTGCTGTGGATGCTCAGAAGCAAATTCCTTCCCAAAGATTTGAGGATCTACAAGTTGCTTACGATCTCAACGCTGCGCCTCCCCAGATTCCTTTTGTCAACCGACTACGGCAGTCTCCTTTTGACGTTGCTTTGATGGCTGAGATCAAGCGCGGTTCTCCTTCTAAGGGCATATTTGCGCTGGATATTTCCGCCCCTGCACAAGCTCGAAAGTACGCTCTGGCAGGCGCAAGTGTCATTTCCGTGCTTACTGAGCCTGAGTGGTTCAAGGGCAGTATTGAGGACTTGAGAGCCGTTCGACAAGTCTTGGATGGCATGCCCAACAGACCCGCAATCCTTCGTAAGGAGTTCATCTTTGACGAGTATCAGATCCTTGAGGCACGATTGGCTGGTGCGGATACTGTTCTGCTCATTGTCAAGATGCTTGATTCTAAGCTTCTACAAAGACTATATAATTATTCTCTTCAGTTGGGTATGGAGCCTCTTGTTGAGGTTCAGAATGCTGAGGAGATGACGACTGCCGTTAAGCTGGGCTCCAAGGTCATCGGTGTCAACAACCGTAATCTCGAGAGCTTTGAAGTTGATCTCAACACTACAGGCCGGCTACGCAGCATGGTGCCTGAAAGCACAATCATTTGCGCGCTCAGCGGTATCAATACCCATGATGATGTTTTGATGAACAAGAGGGATGGTGTCAATGCTGTTCTAGTTGGTGAGGCCATCATGAGAGCCCCTGACGCCAGTGTTTTTATCAGCCAGCTATGCTCTGGGGCCGAGCCCCCTGCTAAATCTGATGTCGCGCCATCATTGTACGTCAAGATTTGCGGTACTCGGAGTCCTGAGGCTGCCCGGAAGGCTGCCGAGTCAGGGGCAGACTTTGTTGGCATCTGCCTTGTTCCTGGTGCCAAGCGATGTATCTCACATGAGACTGCCCTTGCAATCTCAGAAGCAGTGCACACATATCCTAGCACTCGAAAACACGACACCCAAGTGGCAGTAGTAGACAACAAAGCCAAGGACTACTTCGAAGCTGCTGCCCAAAGACTTCGTAGCCCTCGACCTCAGCTCGTTGGTATTTTCCAGAATCAGCCTCTGGGCGAGGTTTTGGAGAAGCAGAAGCAATACGATCTTGACCTAGTTCAGCTTCATGGTGACGAGCCTATCGAGTGGGCAAGCCTCATCCCTGTGCCCGTCGTCCGATGCTTCAAGCCTGGCCAAGTCGGAATTGCGCGTCGGGGATATCATACTGTTCCTCTTCTTGACTCTGGCTCTGGATCCGGCAAGCTTCTCAATGTCACCAATGTACAGGCTGTTTTGGAGAGTGATCCTGAGCTTCGAGTCTTCCTTGCTGGCGGCCTCAACCCTGACAACGTGGCTGAGTCTGTCAAGGCTTTGGGTCCCCTCGCTGATCGAGTGATTGGCGTTGATGTGAGCAGTGGTGTGGAGGAGGATGGAAAACAAAGCTTAGACAAGATCGCAGCTTTCATAAAGGCTGCCAAGGAAATCCGATAAAAGATAGAAATAAACACAGGTTATGCAATTGCAGAAAAATCTCATGAGCACTCCAGTTTGATTGAAGCCGTGTGGTTGTAAGCCATTTTAAAGTGCCCCCTTTCTAAGGTGGTCCTTATAATAATCTTTTCTTGGGGACCCTTCTCCAAGGCACAGATATTATCATCCCATTCTATACACACTCTCTCTTATGGCACAGGGCACTATCAAGCATGCAATTAGACTCATAGTCTCGCATATTCATCTCTCATCACAACAAGCCCTGATCTTGAGCTTTTACATCAACTTCTCTTTTTTTACACCCCTTCCTATACTCTCACTCCTTATTCCATCTTGTAACGAGGCCCTCTACTATATTTAGGCTGGTTGATACTTTTCTCTCTTCTAAAGTCGTCATCACCTTTCACTTTTGGTCCTGACCAGCAACAGCTTCTTCATCCTGTCCCACAGGATATCTTCACCTTCGCCTACCAATATTTATTCTCTCTTCCTACTTCAATTTCTATTCTTTTTCCTCATTGGACTTCTGCATCTTTGACCAACGTACACCATTGATCGGTCCTCGTCCTTCAGCTTTTTGACAGTTTATCAGCCGGCATGGTTGCTCAGATCTTCAAGAACCGTGTAATTTCAGCTGCAGGGCCTCTCCCTGGTCAGTTGACAGTGGAAAACCTGAAGCGATGGATCTCACTTCGCAAAGGCGTCTTTATCGACGACTTTGATGAGACTGTCACTCATCTCCTCTGCACCAAGGAACAGTTCGACAAGAAACTTCCCAAAGGTACTAATCTTTGTTTCTTGTTCTCTTTATATGGCAACTACTTATAACTTGTTAGTCAAGAAGGCATTGAAACTTGGAAAGGGCATTCACATTGTTCATTGTGACTGGTTCGAGTATTCGACGGTCAAGAACAAGAAATTGCCTGAAGCGGACTATTCCATGAGAAGTCTCATCGCAAAGGAAAACGCAAAGAAGAGAGAAAAGGCTCGGATCGAGAAGGGTATAAGGAACGCGGAGAAATTTGTTAACACAAGTATGCCCTTCGCAGTTCTACTGATTTCTGAAAACTAAAGCTCTTCTAGACCGCTTCCACCTCTATCGAGATCGCCTCAACTTTGTCTACCAGGTCGACCTTACTCGAGATAATGAGTTCACAGGCGAGTTCGGGCAGAAGTATACTCTTTGCGTAAGTAAGATTTGCCTCTCGCATGTCTTGATGCTAACAATAAACAGTTATGGGAGTCCAACGCCAAACCTCACTTGTACTGGTTCACGGCCAAATTCCTCAAACAAAAGGGGAGCTCTCAGCCCATGTATCATCGCCCTAGTCCTCACGAGGGAAAATGGAGGGTGGAGATGGAGCTGTTTATGGACTTCTTTAAAAAGAAGACTGGGATCGCTTGGGAAGATCGGGTGTCACTGGCCCAAACAATGCCCAGTTCGTATTTTCAGTATGAGCCTCCGGTATGTCTCAAGTCAATTGCTCTTCATGAAGATAATTTACTAATAATATTTAGTCCAGGGGTAAACCCATTGGGAGACGACTAAAGCACGACATCGAGTTTTGTCGAAATATCAATGCTACGATTCGGGGGTTACCGCTACCTCCCCCCGAAGAAGAGGAGCGTCAGACTGACTCGGCTGAGGATGAGTCTGATGATGGCCCAAGAACCCTTGAAGAAGATGGTGAAGTGATGATTTCACCCCCGGATTCCCCTCGCGCTGTGGCGGAAGAATCTGGCATCGACCCAAAGGAGTTTGGAGACGACACTGAAATGGCTTCTCCTCCTGATCCTGAGAAGCTTCCAGGTGAAATCAAATCCTACTCCAGCTTGGGAGCCTCTCGGGACTGCAGGGAAGAGATTCCACCTTCTGAGTTTGAGCATTCTCAAGATGAAAAGGCAGCCATCACTAATTCTGAGACCATTAACGGCGAAAGGAAATCTGAGTCACCTCCCGAGTCTGAAAAGGCTCAGGAAGCGGACAAATCGACTGGTGTCTTTATGGATGATGCAGAGGCCAAGGGTGCTCTTCCTACTGCAGCCTCTTGTATTGCTGAGAAAGACCTATCACATGCGGCAAATGAGGGTGCCGCCGTGGTTCCTGGTGATGTGGGCGACATGGGGGTCTCCTTTGAATTCGAGACACGAGAGTCTCTTTAGTTGGAGTTCATCTGATGGTTATGGGTTCTGCAGGCTTGCTATCTTGCTGGGCATGACAAAAAAGAGTGCGCCAGGTCTCGGGTTATCAATTATGAATCTGAACCCCAATTGCTGGGGAGCTCAAGTAATGGGTTACTGTTGGTTGGAGCAGCAGATGATTGGGACGTGCATATCTTGGGAGACTTGGTGACAATCGCTCAGTATGCTTGGCGTATATAGAACGATAGCTAATTAGATAGCAATGCTCATAATGGCTTATAATTGATTCACTTGTACATAAACCGATGTGTGATTGCCGGTCTCCTGTTGTTTCCGGTCTTCAGAACCTCAACTTTGGCAAAACAAAGACCACGAGTATGCATGCCACAGCAAGCAAAGCAATATATGCATACAGGAGTAGCCTCCCAAAGTATCCCTTTCCTTCTGTCATCCTCTTGAGCATACCCATTCGCCCTTTCGCCGCCTCCATGCTCTGTTCCGTCTTATCCATTCCCTCACCTGCACGCGCCACTACGTCCTTGTCTGCCTCGAGAGTAGTTGAGAATCGTTGTGAGCTTGACTTTAGAGCACTCGCCATCTGAAGAATCGATTCTGAAAGGGCTTCCTGTTCGGCTCGTTGATGGTCAAGTAAAGCTTCAGCTGTTGCTGTTGATGTTTGGGGAGTAGAGGGTTTGCTTCGATTGGCGAAAAGCGCCGCGCGCGCCGTTGAATGGGCAGGCGGTGATGGAGATGAAGGTGCACCTCTTGATCTTAGGTTCTGCGTTGTTTGCGTGGGTTGTTGTTTGTGCTCTTGCGATGTCGTAGACGTGTCAGGGGGTGTTGTCGATGCTGGCGCTGGTACTGTGGCTGTTGTCACTGGTATCGTTGTTGCCTCGGGGGGCTCTGACTCGGCATCGTCATCTTGCCCTGAGCTTTCCGTGGGTTGGCCTGTTGATATGGAATCGACCATGCTATCGCTCGGCGTAGGTATTATTTCTGAGAGGATATCTTCTCCGTCGGTACTCTCATCATCTTCGTCCTCCTCAATTGCCACCTGTCGTGATGTCAGCTTCGATCCTTTGCCTTGTCCCATAAACCATTCCATACTTGTCTCAAGTCTTCTAGGCGATCCAGTAGCAGTTCTAGAAGCTCTCTCTTCCTGTTCAAATCACTTTGTACTTCAGCCCTCCGACCTGGCGCTTTAATCCCAAGCGCATCGTGTTCTAGTTTCGTCAAAGAGTTTCGTGCATATTCGAGATTCTATGGCTCAGAGTCAGTGTATACGGATGTGGAATCTGGCACAGCCGCTCTTACAGATGCTACTCGTGCTCTTTCGAATTCGCTCGATCGTAGTCGTCGTTCGCGGTCGCTATCTGTATGAAGAACGGTCTTTTGTAGTCGCAGCAGCAGAGTTCCCAGCTCTGCTGATGCAATATCGATTGCGCTTCTATTAATTGGATGTACGGTAGAATGTGAGAGTCGCGCCATGGTCGTCTTTTTGTTTGGTTGTCGATTTCCTGAATCTTCCCCGTCTCTGGTACTGTCGTTGGTGATTTAAGTGACGTGTGAGGTTCAAGGAAGCTCAAGCTATAGCGGGTCTTTGTAGCATGAGCAGGTGCCAAGCCCCGTCGCAGCCTACAACGCCATCCCTAACGACCAACCGGACTCTTGCAGAATAGAGTCAATATATAAATCCTACACAAGAATATAATTCGGTTCATGAACGTTTAGTGAGTTATTAGGTTTAAGGACGTTGAACATCATTTGGCCAGTGTCGAATCAAGAACCGCACCAGAAGGTAGCTGATGGGGTAGATCAAGCAGCTGTTGTTCGTGTTTCCATTATCATTCATAGGGAGGAGGCCAAGACAAGGTAAGATGACCATAATAAGACACCCGGAACCACTGCAGTAGGTACACAATGGAATACGGAACATACTAGCGATAATTTATGAGTCGTTATTTGAAGGAACAAAACCTCGTGTCCAGTGCGGAAGAATATCCTACCCTATACATCGCATATTAATTTGATCAGTCCCAATGCCCAAACGCCATACGCCACTCAAAAATGAACAGAAACATGACAGTAAACCCATCCAAAAACCGATTCCATACTTATCCGTCCCGTCCGAGTTTTCAATGGACAGAGGGCTTTAATAACAATGGCAGTTTCCTGGCGAAGCATGAGAGACCGCCAGATGCTTGACATTTGTCCAAATGCCGAAAGCTCTGTGCTGCCCCTTAAAGCGCAAGGTCCGATAACATAGTGGCCGATGTGTTTTGAGTTGGGTGGTCATCCTAGTCTCTCGGCTCACTTTTCCTATCGTCACCTTCATCCTTCTCCTCTTCCTTCTCCAAAGCATTGCGCAGCCTCTCTTCTTGGCGCTTCCAATGACCTCCCTCTTCATAGTCTGCGCTAATCTTCAATGCTTTCCGTAGTCGTTCGCTCTCCTTGATCTTGGCATCGGCCATCTCGTGGACCTGGTGTTGCTTAAATGTCTTTCTTTGGCCGCCTCTCCTCCCAGAATTCATCTCGGCGAGGAGTTTTTGTCGGAGCTCGTCGCATCGCCTATCGATCTCGTCTTCGTCAACCCTTGATCATGTTAGCACAGCCAGCTTTGCAATTGGATGTATTCAAAGTTGTACTCTTCTTCTTCAAGCTTGTCCCTCAAGTCAAAGACCTTAACTTCGACCTCGCGCTTGCGGTCATGCTCCAGGATCCCCTTGTCTGGCTGCCGTTGTTTGTGTCGAAAGCTATCGAGGTCTTTGGGATAAGGAGCGCCGTAGTCGCGAGGCTTGATCTGAGCAAGGTTGCGTTGAACGTAGCCCGAGGTGCCACTACCTCGGGGGGTGTTGAGACCAACGTTGTCAGACATTACAGCAGACAAAGTGTCGTGATTTGAATTGTTGAAAGGACTGTTGGTGTAAGTTGGCGCGCAGATAATGTTATGGACAATCGAGATCTGTGATGAATGCGACAGCAACAGGCAAGGTGGATAGTTATTGGTGATGTAGGACCCTTCTCTGCCGCTGTCACTCCACCTAAATTTTTACCGCCTACCTCTCTCGGAAGATAAGATAAGCAACTGTCGCCCCTCCATCATGGAGGGGCATGGATAATTTGGATAATTTGTAAGTGAGTCAACATTTGAACATTGACAGCATAACCCACCACTTTTTGTTCTTTTCAGAAAAGTGACACAACAATTTGATACAGAGGATTTCTCATACTACAAGCCTTTGATTCAAGACCTTCGATCATACCCAAGATGCCTCACGTTCCCGCTTCAGCTGAAGCTGACAGCCAAGACGATGTGCCTGAGCTCGTTTTCCCGCCAGTCACTAAAGATCACATCCAAAATTGCTCCTACGACTCCTGGTTTCCCAAATACCGAAGTTCGTGTATAAAATCTCGCATAATACCACTGCCACCTTCATTCGTTGAGTATCTCCATGAAGACGGTATAGTTCTTGCAGATGATGATGAGAATCAAGACGAGCCTGAAGAAGAATGGCATGCATCATCCAATACATCTGCAAAGCCCCAAGTTAGGGATCCTGATTCGTCAGATGATGAGGAAGACGAACCTGAAAGGCTCCCTCCTAACCAGAGGTTCCCGGAGACACACCATCTCATTAAAGAGAAGATTGCAGAATTAGGTGGCTCAGTTGCGCCCAAGTTGAACTGGTCTTCGCCAAAGGATGCCAAGTGGATTTCGCCTCATCAAAACACACTCAAGTGCACGACTCCAAACGACATCTACCTGCTTCTCAAGTCATCTTCTTTTGTTTCTCACGATCTCGATCACGCCTTCGACGACTGCACTCCAAGACCTCCGACCAAGCCATATGCGCCCGTTCTTGTCCTGAGACCATTCTTCACTCCTCATGTGGCCCTCGAATTTCGATGTTTCGTGAAGCACAGAACTCTCATTGGTATCACACAGCGAGATCTCAATCATTATGATTTCTTGGAGCAGATTCGACCTCAGCTGTGGCGTAAGATCAAGACATTCTTCCGAGAGAAACTGAGGTTCACATTTCCTGACGCCAGCTTCGTTTTTGACGTATATATTCCGGAGAACTCCTTTGAGAAAGATGGACTTGGAAGAGTCAGGTTAATGGATATCAACCCATGGGCTCCTCGAACAGACAGTCTCCTTTTTGGCTGGCAAGAGCTGCTTGAGATGGATGTTAAGAACCCCCTCTATGGAACCTCAAGTAATGAGGCCGGTGCAGATGTCAGCGGTGATGACACAGTCACAGAAGGTGAAGAGGAGGATGACGATATTGAGTATCGACCTGAAATGAGTCCCGAATTCAGGATAATAGAAAAGGATGACCCAGCTGCATACAACTTTAGTAGCCCACAATACTCAGCGCACAAGCTACCAAAAGAGGTAGTCGATGCAAGCATGGGTGGCCAGGGAGGGTTGATGGAGTTTGCGATGCAGTGGAAGGAGATTACCGAAGGACGGGGAGATGGAATCTGGGAACAGGCAGCTGGTGCTAGGCAATAGAGTCTCAGAACTAGATAACATGAACGGCCTGTTAAGAGTGAAATGGTTATCTACTCGTCCGTCCGTTGAATAAGCCAGCCGCCATTGGGCAACATTGAATAGAACTGAGTTTAGAGCATCGATATGCCTAATCAATGATGGCGAAGGGGCAGAGATTCGGGAAAGAGAGTTATTGTATGATATTTTGGGTGTTCTCCAGTTCAATGAGTTGAGTTCCCCAATTTCATAGCGGTTGAACACCTCAACTTGGTGAACTTGAGCAGAGACACTCCTGCATACCTAGGTACGTAGAGCCACATGTTGACCAAAGCTTGCGCCGTTCTTGCATGTGAATGAAGGTGAATCATCAACGGGCAGAGCCAACGAAGTAACTGTACGCGTCAATGATTGAATTTACGTGAGGTAAATGAATCTGCGTGCCTACTAAGGTACCTAACCTACCTAGTAGGTAGGTATAGTAGGTCAGTGACCTCGCCCGCTCGCGTACTGTGCTGCAGCGCGATATGCACGGCGCGTGGAAAACGCGACAAACAGTGGGGTCACTATGCCAACAGCTCACTCCTACTTTTGGCCCCGGTCTGCTTCTCTCTTTTCTTCCTCTCTCTCTTCTTTTTGTCACCCATTCTTTTTAACCTTGTCAAGAATATATTCGCACTCATATCAGGTTGTCTGCTATCATTGCCTAGGTATATATTCTTCCTTTACCATACATCAGTTGTCGGTCTCAAGGACTCTGTAGAAGTCTACCTTGTGGTTCTTTGACAACTCTCGAGATCTACATCTCGCCCGTCGCCTTCAGAATGGGTAAAATGAAGGCTGCGCGCACCACGCGCCGACACACACCCCTCTCCAATGCTGGAACACGTTCTTCAAACCGCATTGCTGCAAAGAAGGAGACCAAGGGAACGAAGCAAGCCGGGTCGAGTCAGAAGAAAGTTCTATCTGCTCCTCATGAGCCTGGTTCTTCTCGGGAAACTATCAAGAACTCGAGTGATTCATCCCAGCAACCCCCCTTCAGCAGCTTCAGCAGCTATGACTCTAACGAGTATGTTGAGCTTCCCACACTTGCATCCAGACACTTACTCAATACCACTAGCAGCCGCCACTCAGCTGGGCAGGTCGAGGGAACCCTGACTCTCGCTCACCGTAATCCTCAGGTCCATGGCACCGTTGTTACGTCCTCAGGTCCCTCCAACAACACAGCTGGATCAGACACACCCCAGCTGACAGCTGGTGACGTCGCTCTGGAAATCTATGGCAGCAGAATAGTGATTGATAGCACTCTCGGTAAAAAGCTAGCCGGCGAAACATCCCTACGACCCATCCGGCAGCGTCGCTCTGACATGGTTCTCAACATGGAGCGCCGCAGCAATGTCGAAGCCTTCTTGGCTCATCTCACTGGAGTCCAGGTCAGCCGGTCTTGCAAGAATTGCTCCAAAGGACACGGTCCTTGGTCTGAGTGTATCATCTATGATGGCCAGATGTGTGGTAGCTGCACAAACTGCTGGTTCAATGCCAGTGGTTCTCGATGCACTTTTCACGGTAAGCTGGCTCTCATGCCACACCAATGTCATGAACCAACGCTCACATCTCACAGAGAACAACCAAAACTCCATCTATGCCCCGGCACCATTGTATCACCCCCAATCCGCGGGAATGCCAACACAGCCTTTCCAATACGCCCAGCTCAATCCCCTGGCGCTTCCCCAAGGTATCCTCCCGATGAACCGAGAAGCTGCCGCGTCTGTCTACGTGGAACCTCAAATGCGCAACCAGTTCGCCATGAGCATGATCCAGTCAATGGGACTCGGTTCCGGCAAATAGAATTTGCCAGGTCCCACCAACAACATGGTCGGCAATGTTGTCTCAAATGTCGCTGCTATGAGCCAAGGAGAACGAAAGTTTGCACATGTAGAAAGGGCTGCGGAGGAGCTTGGCATTCGCCTTGCGGAGCTGCATGACTTCCTTGCCACATCCGAGGGCAATGCTTTCATGGCTCAGCTTTCTGGCATGGCTGGTCCCCAGCAAATCTCTTCTGGGGATGAACAACCCCAGGAGCCACTCTCCCAAGAGCCTTCGTCACAGAACGATGCCCACCAGGAGCACGCTTCCCAAAATACTTCTTCCTATGAACCTTCTTCCTATGAGCCTTCTTCCTGTGAGCCTTCTTCTCCGGAGCAGTCTGCTCAGGAAACCTTGTCACCGGGAGGATCTTCTCAGGGAAATGTCGAAGCGCATCCTATGGCATTGACTCTCTTAAACACTCCGCCAAATGAGAACTGAGTGGTTCTATGCTCAGTGAGACCGCCGACGCACAACGCTTCCATTGAGCAAGGCTCAATGCTATGACGGCCCTCAGCAATGCGTCCAACACGCAGAAGACAAAAGAATAAAAAGACCAGGCAACAAACCTATAGAGTTGGCGAGTGATGTGAGTCCACTCACACGGTTCACTGGATCCTACTAACCAAGCCGCAGTGCTCCTTGATCTCTCCTGAACCAGAATTTGGAACCCCTTGCTTATTGTGTGATCTCAAGTGAGTTTGCCGCTTGTTTCGGGCTACGCTCTGTCTTGAGACTACTATTGGAATACGCATTGTGTCACCACTGGATGAGAAAACTGCGCACCAAACCAACATGCTCGTAGTTATGAGCGTGTACGCCATATCGAGCAATAACCGCCAGCCATTTCTTTTTTCGAATCTTTCTTTTTTCTGTACCGCGCGGCTGGCTCGGTTCAAGACACATGTCGCCACTCTTCGATATCCGTGCAGTTCAGCCGAACTATTTTCTTTACCAACTTGTATGATCATGTATTCAGGACAAACCAATAGGAAGGGCAGAGATTGGCTAGCAAGACTAGCGTGTATATGGCAGCTTTCAAGTAGTCTTGGTGGCGAGGCAGTCTTGGTTGGCTCTACACGGAGATCGACTACTATCTGTACCAATATCGATCTCGAGCAAGAATGAATCAAAGGCTCTGGGATACTTTTATGCCGAGATTGTCGGATATAATCTATTAAGTGTAGTAGAGCATAGTTTTCCTGACAAACTTGAGACAACCGAAACAGACAAGATCATGAAACACTTAAGTCGCAATAGGACGTGACTATTTGCTGCGTATGCATTTCTGATATGAGCGGTAGAAGCTAGATCGCCGCCAATTGTGTGGTTTTTGTGAAACATTCCCTTCCTTGCCATCTCTCGTGTATATTCTGCCTCTTAGGAAAGAGAACGAGGTCGAGTCAAGTCACATGATCTTGTTTATCTCAGTCTTGAGGACACCATCACAAGCAAACATCCAACTGCTCCCATGCCTGTCTCATATCTAGAGACAAAACCTCCACAGTTCTGTA